CTTCAAAGTGGTTTCTAAAAAAAATAGAGCTATACATGAGTGACCAATTGAATATTCATTGACTATTCTTAATGGTTGTTGTAGGAAACACATAGTAATAAACATACATCCATTTACAAAATAGCATAGGAGCAATACAAACATTACAGAGTTATGGACAGATTAGTAGGAAAATATCAATGGCTGCTGTAATATATGGTGCTATCTCCAAAGTGGTTTCTCAGGGAGACAGATATATGTAAGGAAAATCTAACAAGTAGTTACAGCCTAAGGTTTGTGAAAAATAGCAGATTACCTCCTCACCAGTGACTGCTTTCACTGAGGTGTGACAGCTGGAAGGAAGGCCAGGATTGAAAAGAAGGCCAGAGACTTAAACCTGTGTCTAGCAACAGGCTGTTTTCTTTTTCCTCTATAGTCATGATTACCCAGGGCTCCTCCCTGGAGATGACAGTCTGGCCAGAGGGAGAAAGCAGAGTATGCCCCAGGCCCTCTCATTCCTGTTAAACTAACTGGTAGGATGGGTCTGAGCTCTGGGGCCTTCACTTCAGAAGGCAGACTGATCTCCAGTAGTCACCTTTGCATTCAGGGCATGGCCTAGGGGACTTCTTAAGGCAGTTCCCCTTGAGGTAGCCTGGCTTTTAACGGTGGTAGCAGATGAATGTAGTTGTCAAGTTCTTCTTGGGTACCCTAGAATCAGACTTAGGGTCTGTTTCTCTTGATGGAATTTGAGGGGGAGAAAATTAGCTGTTTTTTCTCAGTCTCTTTGTTTTCTCTCCTTGGCCTCCTCCTCACCACGGCTATAGAATACTGAGGAAGCAGTCCTTGCTAACATCTCAAATGAGCCATCTGGGGCGAAAGCTATTTTTTGTACCTTTTCCTCTCCAGCCTCCCAGCACATTGGGATCCTGAAACCACTTAGTGTGCTCTCCAGAAGAGGCAGCAGGAATCTCGGTGCAGATCTCTCCAAACCTCCACGTGCTCCTCCCCTGCATCCTGTACTGTCAGGGGAAGAATGGCTTCTAGGGGGGTCTCCCCAGGACTTGCACAAGGTCCTCCTGGTTTCTAGCTTCCAAATGTCTCTAGTGACCCCCATCAACTACACCTCTGAGTCTTCAGGCATAGTCTGTATTCTCATGTTCTTCGAGTCCTTGTTCAGCAACTGTTCCTCTGCTGACTCTGGACATTACTGGTTCTCAAGGGCAGGGGCAAGAGCGACCCGTCATGTGGCATGTATTCCCAGGGGTTTCTCCTTGTCGGGATGATTCACGCATGGAGGGCCAATTGTGTCATTGCTTCTCTAGGCCATGATGGTTCTCAACTCCACAGGGGTGGCTTCCTGAATGCCAGCTGCCCACCTCCTGGGCACTTGTGTGGCTGGGGTTCCGCCCAAAGGCTGGAGCTCTCTGCCATGCGGCTTCCCAGGCACAGGCAGACAGCCTCCCCTCAAATTCCATTTCTGTAGGAAAAATGCATTCAGAAATATTGCATTTTGCTAAGACAACATTTTGTCAGCTTTCATATGAG